CCCATTGTGTGATAAGGGACTCGAATCTACTCTATTTTCTACTTGTTTGACGAGAAAGTTAGTTTAGGGAGAATAACACCCCACAGTGTGAGATTTGAGGGAAAGTGTTATCCACAAGTGAGTTATGGAACCTTGACTAGATGGCTGCTCATGTGTGAATGGTTAGGGTAGTCTCATTACATAGACAATCCCAATGTGTAATAGCCCATGATTTCTTGTTGGAGGCATAAGAAGGATATAAGAGAAGTATAATCATGCATATTATGATAAAAGACACATGATTGTTTATACTGTTTCCCTTATTTTGAAAACATGTGATAATATGTGTTCAATATCATGATTGCGAAAATGACATTGAAATTTATGAAAATGAATATTGTGAATTTGAGAAAATGATATTGTGAATTGTGAAAATGGAATTTGAATGTGGATGACATAAGTGGAATGATAGTTTTCCACTTTTATTTAAATTAATTGGCATACATTAATATAAGTTAGATATACCTAACTTATACCTTAGTTACTGAATGATTATACTCACCACTTTCTCTTTAATATTATAGGAGCAGGCTCATCGGGACAAGATTGAGGGAAACAGTCTTAGGCTTATGATTTTATCCTAACATTGTAGCCTCATTTATTTTGATTTTTATGTGTATAATTTGTATGATATTGCCAACTAAGAGAATACATGATTTTGGCTTATTTGCACTATGATATTGTAAAATTAAAATTGTGTATTCTAGGCCCTAGGTTGAATATGTATTAATCGTGAAATCTGTAAAAAGGTCAAAATACTAGTACAAGTAAAAATTGAGTGAAAATGTGATTATTGTGAAAGATATGTTGATTTATGAATGTGAGGCTCCCCCTTCTGTTTTTGTTATTAACGGGTTGATCATTGAAAATGTGTTGAATCTATTGTTGTATGATGTGATGTATTACACAGGTCTATTATAGTCTATTGAGTGTTGTTTATGATGAAATGTAGGCTTTTGGCACTTGGATTGAAATCAGAACACCAAGTTGTGTTTTGAATTGTGAAATGAATGAGTTGAGAAATGGGTGTCCAAGTTTTCACTAAGAAATAATTTAATTGTGAAGCTAGTCTCATTAGCTAAAATTAGGAGAAAGCTCTTTATAGCACCTAGATTGTCTCAATTAGATATCGGAAAGAGAAATAAGGTGCATAAAAAATCTACCCCAATTGCTATCAAATGACAACAATAATGCTATAAAAAATATGTAATGTGTCGTGGCATATGGTACAGAGGCAACAAGCCAGGGCGCATTTATAGTGATTTGCAGCACACCTCTACGTTTCTACATTGTTTTGCTATTTTCCAAGTGAAATGCAATCAATATGATATTAATTAGTATCCCTTGCTTCCACAAATATTTTCTACTTTGATTTTTCATTTATAAAACCATATTGGAGCATTTTAGAAATTTTGAAAATTTAGGATCCCATTATTGTAAAGTTTACAAACTTAGTAATCTATGAGACTTAGCCTTTAAATACCTCAATTTTTAGAGTTAAACGTGGATTTGTAAGGGAGATCTTACACTATCATCGACATCTAAAAGCCGCTTCAAAAATTGCTCCAACTTAGCTTTATCTACATCAGGTGAAGAAGAATAAGGGCGTATATTTTTTATGAGGTGGAAAATCTTATAATCATTCCACACATATGAAGCATTAATAACAACATTGACAATCTCATCTCTTGTTCCTTTAGGAATAATAGGTAAGACTTGATGAAAATCACCACCCATTACCACATATTTGCCACCAAATGGATGATCATAATGTCTTATATCCTTCAATGAATGATCAAAAGCTTTAATACAATGTCTTTTTACTATTAGTGCTTCATCCCAAATGATTAATTTTGTGTTAATAAGTAGCTTTGCTAATGGTGATTTGTGTCTTGTGTTGCACATTGAATGCAATTTGGAATGTGCAGTTTGTCTAAATGGTAGTAACCTTGCTGCAATACCACTTGACACTATCATTAAGACAATTTCACCTCTAGAACATAGCAATGATGTTAATGCATTCCATAGATATATTTTACCTGTAACACTATATTTATAAACAAAGAAGAAACCACCAAATAGTTGATTTATTGATTGAATAATTTTTTCAAAAATAGTTTTCTACTCAAAATTTAAAGAATCAATCAATTTCTTTGTCTCTACAAATAATGCAACACGATCAAAATTCACCTATTGCAGAACAAGATGGTTGCAAAGATTTGTGGTTGAAGTTCCATGTGGAATAGGAAGAGAGATATAATTAGAGAGGTTCTTGCCATTCATTTGTAGAAGATTTTAAATTTCACATAATGCAGCTTTTTCTTTGTCATGTTCTTATATGTGAACATCTACAATAATATAATAATTTGATTAAACATGATATTTATGTTGCAAAGAACATCAACAACTATGATTGGAATATTAAATTTATGAAACCTCAAAAAAGTTTTTGTCTTGTCTAGGTAAATACGACATATCTTCAAAATAAAATTTTGGTTGAGATAAACAGCAAAACAACAATATGCTAACAAATATCTTTCATAGTTATGTTCTGAAAGCCCAAATAGAAGTTTCTTTAATAACATCTGCATGTTCCTTGTCATCATTAAGAAGACCCATTATATAACATGCAACCCAAAATGTTGGGTATGTGACACCATCAACTATTTTGATATCATCATAAGAAGTATGACCGTTTACTTTGATCAGTAAGATGCAAAGATAACTTCTTTTTTTGTTTACTTTGATTAGTAAGATACAAAGATAACTTCTTTTTCCTGATGGTGGTGCTGCGTGGCTAATGCAACTAGTAGAGAAACCACTTTTCCTTTCTCTTCGTATCCTAAGCTTATGATCAAAGATGAAATGTTGAGGAAATTCACCATAAATAAGTCTCTTTGTGTCATTTCTTGCTCAGTTACACTCAAACAAAAATAGAAACAATGTTGAGGAAATTCACCATAAGTAAGTCTCTTTGTCTCATTTCTTGTTCAGTTACACTCAAACAAAAATAGAAGCACAAATTTATTGACCCTTTGTTTTTTTTAATAAGGATTCAACATCATTAGTTTTCAAATAGATAATACATTATTTGAACAAATTTTGTGAATTATTTATTTTTAGTAAGAGTAATTTGTTAATTTATATAAATTTATTAATGACAGAAAAATTGTTAAAGACTTCAAGAAAAATTATGACATTTTGAGGGACTAAATTATCATTTATATATTTTAAAAAAATTTATTATCATTTTTTTACAAATATATTAGATATAAAAAAAGGATTTTTGGGGAAGGAAAAATGGAGAATTATAATCAGATCTCATACAAAAAAATTAATTACTGTAAAATTTATTAACAATTGAATTAAACTGTATTATCAACTAATTATATTGTCAATGTAATATAATTTAATTATTAATAAATTTTATAATAATTAATTTAATCATGTGAGATTTTAACGCCATTCTCCCAAGAAAAAATTAGGTAGCGAACTTCCGTCTCAAAAGTCGCGCGAAAGATGAAAATGCGAAGTTTCACTTCTTCAAATCGAAAACGATGATACACGCAGCGAGATTATTTTTAATTTTTATTTTTCTCCCTTGTTCTGTAAGATTTGAATATGTTTAGTTGTTTTCTCTCATTGCTTGTTTTTCTTCCGAAGTTCCTTTCATTGTTAGTGTCGACGTTTTTGTCTTGTACTACTTAGAGTCTCATATTCACCGTTGACTCTTGCAATTTTGTTCTATTTTCATCATTTTCGACGATCTACACTTGATTTGTTCACAGATTCAGAAGCATAATTGACCGATTGATTCTTCGGAATTCTGTTCTGGATTTTGTCTTGCTTTGCGTCCTTTGTTCTTCTATTGCAGTAAATTTTTTCAGTAGCAGAGTCCCAAAAACAAAAGAACGGGTAAAAAAATTTGACACTAAGGCATGGAAAATGAAATCTCTATCATCGAAACTTTCTAGGGCTGGCAGATGGCTGGTGAGTGATGACTGAATACTTTCACTTTCACTTCAACGAGGATCATTGTGCATTTTCTCCACTCCATTAGCATTGGGTAACTTTCTTTTCCCCTTGGTTGAAAACTGCAACTTGCGATGATTCATGACGCAATCATGTCATTTCTTTTTTGGCCAGAACTTAATCATGTCAAAGTGTCGAGTTCTGCAAATAAGAAATATTCTCACTTTGACTTGATGTAGAATGTTACGTCAAAGATAGAACTTCCTTATATGTATCCCTTAATGATGAGCTTTATTATCTATCCACTTTTTTATTCATAGATGCAACTTGTTTCGGTGTGACTTAACTTTTGGCTTTATGCTGGAGAAACCATAAGCAAAAGAAAATGGGGCGATATTTATCTGGTCTAGATTCAAATTAATACATGATCATAGAAGGCTCCACACAAATGATGTTGCCCCATCACTATATTTTTCATGTGTTTATCCTGATAGACCCACCTTCATTAAGTGCATGAGTGGCCCTTCCTTGTCCCACACCAGTAAAATCATGTAAACCAAAGATGGGGCGGAAAACGGAAACTAGAAAGAGACAAGCACAAGATAGCTCATGTTCTTTTTTTTAGGGAATTTTTGTTACGGGTTTTTTTTTTTGGACAAAGTTTTTGTTACTGATTAGGATCTTGATTCTTGTGTTGTTTAAAACATCTATTTGCTTTAAACACAGGGTTACGTCAGGGGTTAGGCCGGTCATAGGCTCAGACCAAGAACTTCTATAGATGACCATAGGCACATATATAAGTAAGATAATCTTCAGTCTTTTGCCTTTATTTATTTCATCCCAGGAAACCCATTTGATTTTCTACTTAAACATGTGTTTAGAGTCCTAAACTGCAGGTGATATCTATTGGATTTATCATTGCTGAAGTTATCAAGCACTTGGATTGGGAAGAGTGACGTTGAAGAGACAGAAAGATGGAATTTATCTCTGTCTTTGTAAAATTTAAATCAATAAATTCTATCTATCTTTTTTTTTTTTCCTCTGAATTCTATTTAATATTCATCACGAGTGAATTGATTTCAGATTAGGATTAGCATGATCACGAAGTCTTCTGTAGTTTTCTTCCTTTGAGCGTATATTCTGGCGTGCAAAATGGCTTTAGTGGTCCAAAGTAAAAGAATATATTTACTATTTTCTATGTTGTGAAGAGTGGTGGTTTGATGAAAACAGAGTGCTGCTGACAAAGGCTTCTTACATGACAAGCAGCAAGTTCAGTGTATGGTATTGATTAAAGCCTGCTCAAAATAGACGACAATGTTGATTAACATAGGGGATGATGATGTTTTTGATGACAGAGAAAATAGCAATTCTGCTAAAGAACGACAAAATGTGAAATCAATTTGACCTCAGCCACGAGAAGATGAACGACCAATCCCTATCAGCGTAAATGTAAGTTTCATTATAAAAACAAAACAAAATAAAATAAAATGAGGGTCCTTTCCTATTTCTTATCATTTGACTTCCCATTACATCCAAAGGGAAAGCTCAGGATAGTCTGTGTGTGTTTGACAGGTATGCGAGGACTATGTAAGAAGGTTATAATGCCTTGGCATATACTTTCTCTACGGACAGATTGCAACTCCATAAAGACATACCTTCTTTTATAATGAAGGGCATTTTACACTCTCTCATTTAAGGCCTGTCAGTTTCCCTTATGATATACTGTACCAATCTCAAACACCTGTTTCAGAAAAAGGACGAATAAACCGCCAAGAACCAAAACCCAAAACTGCTCACCATTCCCTTCCTTGTTACGTTTCTCTCAAATTTTTATATGAATTGATGGTGCTATTTCGGGAATAATGAAGAATGCTATGCATGTGGGATCCACTTCCATGTAGCGATTTCTTATGTGCTATTATCTTTATTATTGCTTATTGAAATTTGAATTACCTGAGTTTCTTTTAAATTACAAGTATCATGAATAGTTCAAGTATATCTCTGTTTTCCCAAATATTGACAATGCCAATTTCTTGAGATACAAATCCCTTATCTGGCCTACCTTTCTCTTCTCTCCTTCTCAGTGTGTGTGCAATAACTTCAGTTTCTATTGTGACGTCTTCAATCTCATACTTAGAGCAGGACACCCAACCTTCTCTGTTTTTCTTAACTTCTCTCTCACTATCATTTTGCTCTTAATCTAGCCATGGAAGAGTCAGACAATCCCAATGCTAACAAGTTCATAACCAAAAGAAGCTTCAGAAGAGGAGCCAACCCTCTTGAGCGTCATCACTATCATTATCATCACCATCAGCAACTGCAACAACACCCAACTCAGTTCAGGTTCTGCTACCAGAACGAGTATCAAATTCAGAGGTACTACCCGGCTTTTCTTCCTCTACCTTCTCTTCTACCTCTGCAACTAGCTTTCAAGCCATCCTCGTTCACCCAAAATCAGACCCTCAATTCGAAAACCGATTCACACAAGTCTCCATGCAAGCTGAACAAAGTCTCAGTAGACACAGTTTCTCATGGTAACACTAACCTTCGTTCAATTTCTTCGCCTGCGTGATTGTTTTCCTTCAAGACAGGCTATAATTTGTTTTTCGTCTTGTTTCTCTTTGTTTTTTTTTTTTTTTGGTAGATAATACAACTGCACAAGATATTCCTCTCCGTAGATAAATTTGCTATTTGTATTCGAAAGAAGAAATATACCTCATTATTTAAGTTTACTCGTTTCATGCATTAATTTCTTTTTTTTCTCAACAGCTCAATTTCATTTCTCAGATAGAATATAACAATAAATAAAATAGTGAATTTAGCTAATTCTTGTATCTCATTGGTTATCTTCTTCCATTGCAAATCTTGTTTGGCTGGCCTTTTCATTTGCAAACTTTACAGTCAAGAGTTTTTCATTTCAATTCTTCTTATATACCATCTTTTTTCCACATACTAATTCAGCTCCAAAGGAGTCTCATCATCAAGCCAAGGCCTCTTCCGAAGGAGATGATAGGAACAAACTCATGCCTGCAAGAAAACCACAGCCACTAATTGCTGCAAGGAGGCCAGACTCCGGTGGCAAAGAAGGCTCTGCAATCTCTCTCCTTGCTAACCACTTTCTAGTGAAGTTTGATTCATCACAAAAAATATATCATTACAATGTTGAAATTAGTCCCCATCCCTCTAAACAAGTTGCCCGAGTAATCAAAGAGAAGCTTGTTGATAATAATTCTGCTGTGCTCTCTGGTGCTCTTCCGGCATACGATGGGCAGAAGAATCTTTATAGCTCCGTTGAATTCCAAAATGATAAGCTTGAGTTCTACGTGAGCCTGCCAATCCCAGCAAGCAAAAGTTCATTAAATGATAGAGAAATGTGTGAATTGAAAGAGAAGCATGAACAGCATAAACTATTCCGGATAAATATCAAACTAGTCTCTAAGATCAATGGGAAGGAGTTGGCAAAATACTTGGGCAAAGAGGAAGATGATGATTGGATTCCACTTCCACAGGATTATCTCCATGCTTTGGATGTAGTTCTGAGGGATAGTCCAACTGAGAAGTGTATACCAGCAGGTAGGTCTTTCTATTCAACTTCAATGGGAAGAACCAAAGAGATTGGGGGAGGAGCTACTGGGTTGAGAGGGTTCTTTCAGAGTCTTCGACCAACTCAACAAGGACTTGCCCTCAATGTTGATTTTTCTGTAACTGCTTTCCATGAGAGCATAGGAGTGATTCCATACTTGCAGAAGCGCCTTGAGTTCCTTCGAGATCTTTCTCAAAGGAAGATGACAAGTTTAACTGGTGAAGAGAGGAAAGAAGTGGAGAAGGCCTTGAAGAACATAAGGGTCTTTGTTTGTCATAGACAAACTGTGCAGAGATATCGTGTCTATGGCTTAACTGAAGAGACTACTGAAAATCTTTGGTTTACTGATAGGGATGGAAAGAATCTGAGGCTCGTTGGCTATTTTAAAGATCACTATACCTATGACATACAATTTAACAAATTGCCATGCTTGCAGATTAGTAGGAGTAAACCATGTTATCTTCCTATGGAGCTTTGTGTCATCTGTGAAGGCCAGAAATTCCTTGGAAAGCTTTCTGATGACCAGACTGCAAAAATACTCAAGATGGGCTGCCAAAGACCAAGAGAACGAAAAGCCATCATTGAAGGAGTCATGAGGGGGCCTGTTGGGCCAACTAGGTAACACCATAGTACTTGTTTGATTTTAATGTACTTTTGTAAATCCTTTATCTTCTTATTTTAGTTTCTAATGTCTTGAAGGAATCATTTTGGCAGTGGCAACCAGGAAAGAGAATTCAACCTCCAGGTGTCAAGAGAAATGACTCGTTTATCTGGGAGAATTCTTCACCCTCCCAAGCTAAAGCTTGGGGATGGAGGTCACATGACAAAGCTAATTCCTTCACGGCATGACCGCCAGTGGAACCTTCTAGACGGTCAAGTCTTTGAGGGAACTAAAATTGAAAGGTGGGCATTGATAGGTTTCGGTGGTACACCTGAGCAGAAGTCCAATATCCCTAGATTTATAAGCCGGCTATCTCAAAGGTGTGAAGAAATGGGCATTTTTCTTAACAAGAACACAATTGTTAGGCCCCATTTTGAATCAGCCCAGGTGCTTAATAATGTCTCTCTTCTGGAATCTAAGCTTGAGAAAATCCAGAGAACTGCCTCAAACAATCTGCAGCTGCTTATTTGTGTTATGGAGAGAAAACACAAAGGATATGCAGACTTGAAAAGAATTGCAGAGACAAGTATTGGAGTTATGAGCCAATGCTGCTTGTATCCGAATCTCAGCAAATTAAGCTCACAATTTTTGGCAAATTTGGCTCTCAAAATCAATGCCAAAGTTGGTGGCTGCACAGTTGCTCTGTACAATTCACTGCCATCTCAGATTCCAAGACTCTTTCAATATGATGAACCAGTTATATTTATGGGTGCTGATGTAACTCATCCCCATCCACTTGATGATCACAGTCCATCTGTTGCTGCTGTTGTTGGTAGCATGAATTGGCCTACTGCAAACAAATATATTTCAAGAATAAGGTCGCAAACGCATCGACATGAAATCATTCATGATCTCGGTGCAATGGTGAAGGAGTTACTAGATGATTTCTATCAGGAAGTAAAGAAACTCCCTGGGAGAATAATTTTCTTTAGAGATGGGGTTAGTGAAACCCAGTTCTATAGAGTTCTTCAAGATGAACTACAATCCATCAAAGGGGCATGTTCTAGATTTGTTGGTTATAAACCATTAGTTACTTTTGTAGTAGTACAGAAAAGGCATCACACAAGATTGTTTCCCTTTGAAACTGATCATCATTGTCACGAGAATATTCCCCCAGGGACTGTGGTTGACTCTGTGATCACTCATCCCAGAGAGTTTGACTTTTATCTTTGCAGCCACTGGGGCATGAAAGGAACAAGCAGGCCAACTCATTACCATGTTTTGTGGGATGAAAACAAGTTTACTTCTGATGAACTCCAAAAGCTGGTTTATAACCTGTGCTATACTTTTGTTAGATGCACCAAGCCAATTTCTTTGGTTCCTCCTGCTTATTATGCCCATTTAGCTGCATACAGAGGCAGACTCTATCTTGACAGATCAGATTATTCATCGACTTTATCCAAAGGTATTTCTTCATTATCTAGACCTGCACCTCCAAAGACAGCACCTCTTCCAAAACTTAATGAGAACATCAAGAAGCTCATGTTCTACTGCTAATGACAATGTGTGTGTGTGTTGCTGTCTTGCCATTTGATTTGCAACTTACCTTCTGATATCTGATATTAAGAGGCACCCGAAAAGTAGAAGAGTAAATGCATGCAGGATAGGATTAGTGGAGCATGAAAAAACAAAAGACATGCAATTTCTGCATTGTCTAATTAAACAAGCTGCCTAAGGTCAATTTACCTGTTATACTTTCTTCTATTTTAGTTGTATTGTGAATAAAATATAAGATAGCATTTGCATTGATAAATTTGAATTTAAATCTTAAATTTAAAATCTCATACTTAAAATTCACATGTTTAAAATTTTTTATTTGGATAATATAAAAAATTTTAAAGGAGAGAGACAGATTGAAGTTCAAAAAATAAAGAGAAGATTGAAAGTAACAAGCTTCTATTCTTTAATCGGTGAGAGACAAATGAAAGACGACAAGAGTGACAAGAATAATAAAGGCAATAATATTGAAAACATGAAAAAATGAGAAGAATAATAAAGGCAATAATATTGAAAACATGAAAAAATGAGAGTTGTTATAGTTGAAATTTTAAATAATTAGGATTTAAAAAAAAATTCAAGATTACAATGAAGTTATATTCAAATTCAAATTTTCATGCATTCAAACTCACGAATTGTAAGCTTAAAGTCATTGTGGAAGCTTCAGTTAAAAACTAAGAATACATGGATATTAGGTGCAATTGTTCCTTTTATATGTATGTATGTATATAATTAATGAATTCCAGCAGTTAATATTATCTTTTAAGCTTCATAGTTGAATTCTTTTAGTCTATGATCCATATGGATGCAAAATGATATAAATTTCTTGTCCAGTATCATAAGACCCTATATGGGTTAGAATTCATTAAACTAAAAAATAATTAATGTCTAACCCTATATGTTATGATGTGTAATGCGTCCATTAGTGACATATTTTAGAATGAAAAATAACAAGGTCGTTGTAGTTAGTTTTGTAAGTTGTTTTCATTTTTATTAATTGATCTTTTTATTTAAAAAAACATGAATCACAAAACCATCAAACTCCACGTTACCTCCAAGTCTGACCTATTTTAACAGTCTGAGTAGGTGGGGGTGTAGCAGATCTCCAGGGGTGCCAACGAGATTTAATAGTAATCCGAGTGATTCACAGCTAATTAGACGAAGCTAAACAAAAGGCATACTATTTTTTATGATATTATAATTGTAGTTTTTAAAAATTCCAATTTTTGGCTCTAACTTTTTTACATGTAGTTTCTTAAAGGGTTAATTTTTTCAGGTACAACTGACATATTTAACATTGATGCAATGCAATATTATTCCAAAAATTTTAAAAATGGTACAATATCACTTATAATAACATTTTTTAGGCTTCTAGTTCCATTGAATAACCCTAAAATAAAAACATTTTACCAGCTGAAAAATCTCTCATCAACAACAGAACAAAATTCATTTTGAATTATATTTAAGGAATTATTTGGTTTGGATTGAAGAAACAATGTCATTTGATTATTATCAAATTAATTGTTTTTTTTTCCTATCCATCAGGATCTCACTAGAGCGCCTTCTACTTCTAATAGGCCATACTCGCCGTTAGTTGAAAAATTGTGACAAAGGTTAAAAGTAACTTTATCCTACAATTTTTTCTAAAACAATAATTAGTATTCAAAACTTAGAATTAGCATAATATTTTTAAGTCATCAAGAAGAGAAACTTGTCCTCCAAACCTTTTTAACATGTGGTTTCTGTTAATTTTGTCAGGTACAACTAATATATTTAACCTTAACTTTTAAAATTTTAAAAATGATATAATATCATCTTATAATAATATTTTGTCAATTATGGCAAGGGTTAAAAAGTAATTTTACCTTGATTATATTCCAACCCTTTCTCAAATGTAATTTTTCCCATGGGATGTAACAAAAGAATCTTGGTGGACCCACTGAGAATGGAACCCTCAAGTGAGGGACTGAATGATCAGAGGAGGCAAAGAGAGAAACCAAGAAAAGGTGTGCCTTCAGGTGGAGGATGACGAGGCAAGGCCACTGAACTAAGTCTGATAAAAAAAAATTTTTTGGAGTTCCTTTACTGTGTCTCTCGTGAGCTCTGTTTTCCAGGAAACAAGTGAACACGGTGCTCTAAAAGACTACACACATCGAAAAATAAAACAGAGTCACAGTCTCAGATGCATTATTTATCAATAATTTTAATGCAGTGAGCGAGTGTCTATAAAAAAAATCTGACCTTTTCTGAAGATGAAGCCACCATCGAATTACCACTCTCTGTCTCTCCCACTGCCTCCTATGTTTTTTTCTCTTCTTTAACACTCTTTTCAGTACTGCATGTCCCATGCAGTTGCATGTAACACATTGTCTGCTTATGTACAATAGTACATTGGGGGCTTTCCCATCATTACTTTTTAGGGACAATTAATCATTTAATTTTGTAATTTTATCTCGCTTGTAATTAAATTTTAAATTTTAACTTACTATAATTAGGTTTTTTTAATTTTTCTTTAGTTATAATTTAGTTGTTAAATTTTGACTTGATGTAATTTAATACTTATAATTTTAATTATCTAAAATATTGTCACTATATTTAGAAAAATAAAATTATAAAATTATTTTAAAATTTAAATTGTATTATTTTAAATTACTAAAACTTTTAATCTTTGCAAACTACAAAGATTAAAATTTTAATCTTTATAATTTTATTTTTAAAATAAAGGGAACAACATTTTGGATTCTTAAAATTATAGGAATTAAGTTGCACCAAATTAAATTTCTTAAACTAAACTACAACTGAAATAAAACTATGAGAATTAAGTTACAATATGTTTAGATTCAAGAATTGAGTTATAATTGAGTTAAAATTTAAAAAAATAAATTATTAAGTTTCTCTTTTTCTTTCTTTATTCTTATTTGCTTTATTTAAATATAAAGTTCAGGTGAAATAAATTATAAAAGTTTGTTAAAATCAAGATGGATTAGCAAGTTGCTCATTTCAATGGTGAAACTTTTTTCATAATAGTTCGATAGCTAAAATATAATTTTAGTTGTCCTCTAACTTCATACAAGTATTTAATTTGATCTCTTAATTTTATAAAATATATTTTTGGTGTCCTAACTTAATAGTTTTAGTTTTAAATGACTATTTTAGTACCAATTATTATTATTTTTTTAAAAAAATAAACTTAATATGTCAATATTTAAAAATATTTTTTTAATATTTAAAATTTTAATGTGAAATTTTTTTGTGATGACACTAACAATATTAGAATTAAAAGACTAAAAATACACTTTACAAAATTAAGAGATTAAAATAAAATCTTATACAAAATTAAAAAAATTAAAAATATTCTTTAACTTAGGAATGGAGTTATGTCTAAACAAACCAATGTCATCTCTTAGTAGTGATGGGGGAAATTTTCACTTACCTCCTCCAAAATATTACCACTTGCCCTTCTCCCAAATAGAGAGTGGGTTGTCTCTTGTTTCCTCCCCTCTTGCTCCATCCTACCACTACAATCAAGCCAATATGTAATCACGGTTTCGTTTATTCAATAACCATATTTTTAAAATGTGGCAAAGTTTCATACCAATGGTTGAAAAAAAAAAACTTGGCTATTTTAATTGTGACAAGAATCTAACCATGATTTTAGAAAAATGTGACTTTCTGGGGGAAAAAAAAACATGGCTATTACTCACATAACAAATTGTCAAACTTCAGCCACGTTTCTTGGGCCATGTTTTTTGAAAAAACTTGGCTACTTAATTTTATTTAAAAAAAATTAGTAACATTTTTCACAACAATTTATATGTTTAAAAAGTTTTTCAATAATTTAAATATTACATATTATTATATTAAAGCCACGATTTTCAAAAAATGTGGCTACTGACTTATTTCATTAAATAAAATTTGATAATTTTTTTCAAAAATTTAAATCTTTCCACAAGCTTTTAAGCTATTTAAATACTATAAATTATTACATTATATTATTATTTTTCTGAAATTTTGGAAAAAATATTTCACACTATTTAATTTTAAAATTATTTTTGATAATTAAATTTTAATTATTTTCTGATCAGATTATTAATACAAATTATTTAAATTATTTTTGTTACTGGTTGATGTATATATTTCTATTTCTATTTATAAATATTTTTAATCAATATTTTAAATATCTTATTAATATATAAGATTTTCCAACTTTATTTAAATTAGTTGCTTCGTAAAGCTCTACAAAGTTCACTTGTCGTCCATCTTTTTCTTCCTATAAAAATATCTTACAATGGCTATAGCTATTTCTTTATTGGAAGGATTGCCCTCTTTATTTAAATTAATTGCTTTGTAAAACTCTACAAAGTTCACTTGTCATCCATCTTTTTCTTTCTATAAAAATAATATCTCTATTATTGAATACATATATACATACATACATACATACATACATATATTTACTATGACAAATTGAAAAAATATCATATAACTCCTTCTCCTTGAGAAACTAAGAGTTCCACTCATATGGTGAATCTTCAAGTGACCCTTACTTACAGTGTTTTTACGTGAAATCATCTATAAAAAATAATTATTATTAATAAATAAATTTTATTTTCAGAAAAAAATTATTTAAAAACAAAATCTTACTTTCATGTTAGAATTTACATGGTGGTCGACAAATGTTGCCCAATCTTCTCTAGAGGCACCATTTAGCACACCATTCTTCAATTCTTCTATTAATTTAGTACCATCTTAATTGTTTTTGTACAAATTATATTTGAATTATTTTGACTTTTCTCCCATTGCTTTTAAAATAAACTTTTTGTGCCCAAAATCATCAACCAGAAAATGAGCCTACATGAGATATATAAAATATATTAATTAATGATAATTATGAAAAGAAACATCATTCTTCTTCTAATTACATTGACAATATTTTCATAAACATAATCTTTCATTGTGTTAGGAATCTTACGCCATTCAAGATGTCTTAATGAAAAATTATTGTAATTAATCAAATAATTCCTAAAAAGCTTGACGAGAGCCCACTAGCATTTCCAATTGATTAATTAAGTGTATTTCACTCCATGTGAATTCTTTCACCATTTTGAAGCAAAAACACATATTTTACTTTTAAGCATTGAGTGGAAATGTTTCCACTTTCACTTGAAAAAAGATTATCAAAAAAATGCAAAAACATGTACATAAAA